CGTCCGGCTCGGTCATTAATAATAATCAAGCGTCTCGTAGACCACGCGTATACAGCTCCGTAACGAAGAATGGAGCCCGAAATTACATCCCCCTCCTCCTTGCTACTAGTTTTTTTTTTTTTTTTCACAAAATAAAATACCCACGATGAGAATTTACACGGACCCGTGAGCTGATTACACTTTCTTGATTTATCCGAGAGCCGTTTCGCCGATCGCCTCTCTCCGACTGCGTGGCCGAGGTCTCACTACATACATACTCGTCCGATCGATACAAATTGTACGAGGTGGTTGGTTTGGGGCTCAGTCTGGGAGATGGGCACGACTCCGATGCGTTACCGATGCCGAGAGTACATCCAACTACAGGCGATGCCTCTTCTAATTATCTCGAGACTGAGTCCCTCTTCTGCTGAGAAAACCGTTAGGTTGGGCTGGAAACTTGGAAAGACTCGGAAAGCGAGTATACCTCGTCCGAGCTTGCAAGGGGCACCAGAAGAAACTAAAACCTACACATCAAGTGGGTTACTGGTGTGTAAATCGTCGAGGAGGAAGGAAACGAGGCGATAAAAAACATGGGAATAACTCAAAGAGCCCCCAAGACTCCTCGTTGTGAATATCACGAATTTACGACTCTGTTTGCGACCCTGTGGTGATTGCTTTTCACATACCCCGAGGCTGCGTTGGATAAGATGAGGCGCTAAGTGAAACAAAACAACGTGGATCTAACGACAGTGCCAATGAGACTGTTTGACCCCGTATAATCACGTAACGCCATAGTTTTTAGCCAGAGGGTAAAAGTATTTTCTCAAAAATAAAAAAATTTGGATAAATTAATCTGTTTCTCAGGTTACAGGGGTCACATAACCATGGGATTTAACTACTTAGGTTTTTATAACTCGAATAACGCAGGATTGCGTACACGAGCCGCTAATTTCATCGTGTCCGGCACCTTTCAGCCCCAACGCGTCTATTTTCGCCCGTAATCTTTCCGTAGCGATTTCTCGCTCCAGCCACGTACAAAAAAAGAAGCAGAGAGAGAGAGAGAGAGAGTCGTAATAGAGATTCGCAAGCTTCGATTTCGTATTTATAGATATCCTGGAAAAGAAGACGACGCGGCGGCGAAGAAGAAACAGCGGTACAGTTGTCGCACGAGGGAATAGAAAACGATGGTTGGGGGGGTAAGTTATGCGCTGTTCGCCCGCCCCGGCCACTACCGCGCCTCCTCCTCCTCGTCCATAACTCTCTCGAGCTGTGACAGGCCCCCGAACGGAAGGCCGCGTGTGCGCCACTCCTCCTCCTTCTTTTTTCTTGCGCCTCTCGTTTTCCTACCTCTGTGTACCACAAAAAGAGAAAGAAGAAGGACTACACTGCATCGGATCCTCTATATATACCTATACCCTGGGCAGGAAAATTGAATGCTCCAGCGTCACTGTCAAATTGATAACCACGCGACGACCTTTTCCCTTCTTTTTTTCTTCGCCTTTTCCTTCCCTATACGCGCGTCCCTCTTGATTTTGGTTAGCGTACGCGCGTGCAAGACCTGCTTTCCATTTCCATATATTTCCCGGGGCTTGAAAAACTGTCCCTCCACGTTTTTACCGCCGAGGTGGATGGATGAGGCTGAAAATGCGAATATAACGAGGATCGCGGGGGAGAGAGATGGATTTATTGGTCCCCCTTTTTTTGACTTTCCACGACTCGGGAGGGTATGTGCGTGGGGGTCCATGTTTATATAATTCGGGTGATGTAGAATAAAAGAAAATTCGGGGGACCTCCCCGCGAGGCATCAATCGAGGATCTACAATTGCACCGAGTCGAGTAACGTGTACCCACGTGTTACTTTACGAGGTGAGAACCAGTTGCGGGATGGGACCGTTAATACCTTTACAATCGCTAAAAGCCTCTTTCCATACTTTCTTATTTAGATTTACTCCCAGGATGAGTCGAGTAGGTAGTTTTTTCTCCTGAAATATCCAAGAGAACCACGACTCTTACGAAAAAATGCGAATCGTACGTGTTACGTGCGATAATGCGAGGTATTACTTGCAAAGTCCACGGACACGGAAGCACGAAGGCGCATGTTGATCCAAAAGAAGGAAGAAAAGGATATAAAGCCGCGGAAGAGTCGTCGAAAGGAGTCGGGATACAGCGTAGAAAAGGAAGAAAAAGGGGAGGGGGGAGAAAGGGGCTCACCACGTCAACGGAGCTATGTAACGAACGTGCATCTTTTGCAAATGGCAAACAAACGTACAAGTCGCCGTCCACCGGAAGTGGCCACGTGTGTGCAATCGATACACGCCGACGCTGCAAACGCTTGCATGTACACCTATATTTTTATTTCGCAAGCGGCGATAATGCGTGACCCCTTATTTTTGGGTCCTCTTATACGTTTTGCTCCTCGACAAGGTCCCATCGTATTATACGTGCCCACGGACGCGTAAACGTGAATCATTCATAAACCGGAGGGGCAAAATTCACTTGTAAATACCCTTTGGAAAATTATGCCAGGGAGCGTTTTCGGCCTTCCATGTACGTGGCTAACGGGGCTTCCATTCAACCTTTCGGGTCTCGCATTGTCCTTGCACAAGGGACGATTATTTCGTTTACGTGTTTGTTATATCCGAGTTGCTGCTTCATTCTCTTTCACTCCAACTCGGATGTGACGCTTACATTCTGATAACGTCGTAAAAGGCGTAAGTTTCTTTGTTGTAGGAATGATGCGGTGTGGGTTTTGTCAAAGAGTTGCGGGCGAGTAACAAAGTACGTTAAACTCGTTGTCACGAACGAAAGTGTGTGTAGCAGCATCGTCGATGGTTTCAATGGGACATCAAAGAACCATCTACTTTCACGAGTGGCTGAGCTTCTTTAGATCTCTTCTTCGCGTATACGCCTCTTTTTCGGCTGTCCGTACATAAAGTAGTTTGACGTACTCATAAAAATCATCCTTCACCTGGTGGAAGTATTTCTCCCAACAATTTCTATTGTATGAATTCTTTCGGTCTCACCTGCGGGGACGCAATCGCCGGCGCGCATTCCTCATGAAACTATATGCGTACACCCGCTCTGTCAAGTGACGTGAATTCCTTTGTATACACGTAGCGAGTGCCCACCAACAATTTTGTACATCCGCGAAACTTACTCCCGTGTGGGCGGGCGCGCACATTGCATTGGGCGAGGGGACAAAAATCCCAATCGACTTTTGAAACGCGCGCTTCGAATAGCGGAGCCTCGCGGTCGCGCGAGCTAATACTGTGCCTGAAAAAATGGAAAAGAGAGAGCCGCAAGAAACCGAGGCACCGCGAATTCTCCCCCACCTTCCTAAGGTGTGTATATACGTGCTCGGATAAGGTTTCTCCTGGTGTATTCGTACACGCGTTCTCCCCCGAGAGAGTCCATGGATGCGTGAAACAAGTTTTGACGCCACGTGGTTTGGACGAGACAATGAAGAAAAAAAAAAAATGAAGGGGAGCACGCGGAAAATAAATAAAAGTCGAGAAAAATATGGGAGAGCCACGCGTATGGGCGCGCTTTCGTTCTTTTTTTTTTTTTTTTTTTTTTTTTTTGTTGCTTCTTTGCTCCTTTTGCGATGGTATAGACGCGCGCCATTAATCAGAGCCGGTAATTTTCTTGATATCGGGCCTCCAGCGCGCACAGAGACGGACTCTGATGGAGTAAGGTTTTTCGAAGGAAGGGAGACTCGGCGCGTGAAAAATTATCCCGAGCTCCGTTCCATTATTTTTAGTCGTATTACGCGTGCGGCTTGGCTACGGAAGAGGGAGGGAAAAAAAAAAAAAAAAAAAAAAAACTAGGGAGCAGAGTTTACGAAACAGATTATTGTCGGCTGCTGAAGGATACACGTACACACTTTTCGATTGTAGTTGCGGTTTTATTCGCTGCTTTTTGTACACAAGGACGATATTCAATACTGCGGTCGATTACGAAAGTAATTGGGTTTTTTGGCGCAATCGGCTCGATCGTTAAAATGTCATTACCGCTGCGATGGTGTCTCTATGAATAGAACCGACGTGTCTCGTTTGACGATGATTTTCCGTCGACAGACCGCAGCATCGGCGAGACGCTGCATATAGTGACGTTATTTTTGAGATACTCCGAGGTTTTGGTATCCGCTTACATGGGCATAGTCGAGTCGTTTCGTATTTGTTGGTTAAAAGTAGACGACGAGCAAGTGGGTATTGCAACCGAGGTGTTTTGAAATAGTCGAGTGCAACGCGCCCTCGCTCTACTTACACTATCGATTTTTCAAAATTAATGTGTTTGTCGTGCTCAAAAATGGGGGGAGGATGCTTGTTTGAGTAGTTTTACGGTGTTGGATTACCGTTTACGATTTTTCGATGTAATTAAAATTAATGGCCATACCAACTAGTTGTGACAAGACTTTTCCTTTAAACATTATTATGTTAACTTGGTAGAAAAATTGAATTTTCACGGCAAACGTATTGCTTTAACGTAAGTACACGCTGTAGAGGATAAAGATAAAAAAGTTGGTTGAAAATTTAATTTAATTAAATTTTAAGTTGTCACGTCACCACCGACTAACCCAAACACTCAAATCGTCAAAGAGATTGTAACCATTTTTCACAACTAAATAGCAGCGAGAGCGACGTTTGTTTTAATTTCGTATTCAAAGTCAGCACGCGACTTCCCATAACACGCGTGTCGTACACCCTTATCGTACATGCGCGTGCCGTGGAAAAAAAACCTTGTTCGCGATGTCACAGCGAAATAAAATAAAAACCATTAAATCCCGACGGTGAAAAAGTTATCAATTTCGTTTCCCCTGTACGCGAGTACACTAGGCGGTAGCGATATCGCCTGCACGCTCTATTCAGACCCAACGAATGTGGATGAAAAAGACAGAGAAAAAACCCCATCCCCACTAATTAACGGTACACGTGTTTTGTTTTGGTTTTCCCCCCCTTTGGTATGACTATACGTATGTACGTGCATATCTGATGTATTTTTTTGTTCTATCCATGTTTCAGCACAATGCACCGCAGCCCTGGGAATGGCGTCGGGGGCGATCCCTGACTCTGACATCACTGCCAGCTCCAGCTTCGATAGCGGCAACGTTGGCCCTCATCACGGACGGTACGTACTGTTGTTTCGTGCATCTGTTGCATCTGTTTTTTCTCTCTCTCTCATCTTCTGCTCTCAATTTGCTTTTTATTTATTTTCGTTTCTTTCATTTATTTTTACAAATACTACGTTTTCCTGTTTTCGCGTATGCAACTGAGTGCAGAAAAAAAGGTAACATTTGGGTATCCAAGGGAGTGGAGGTGGCGGTAAAAAGCAACTAGATATCCGAAAGCAACCACCACAAGGCGAAACCTAAAAAAACTCGACCACCTAATGTACTTTCATCCAGCATCCCATTTTACACCACGTTAAAACAACACAGTTGAGATAAATAATTTGTCTCATCAGCTCGCAAACTTTATCCGGGTGCCATTAATTTTTTTCACTGGGGCACCTCTAAATGGGACGCGTTGAAAGAAAAAGGTGAGCCAAAATAAACCATTGTTGCCAATGTGTACCACAAGCCACATAAATCTCGCAAACGAGAGGCTGTGGCTTTTTCCGAGCCACCATACCTGTAACCAAAGAAGTGCGCTCGAAAAGAACGGCTCAACGCGGCTATGAAATACCCGCGATCTTTGCTCCAAAGAGAGCTAAGCGTTTATTGCTCCAATACATACACAAGGTAGGTATACCATACAGCGATGAGTACACGCTAGGGATGCATATAATACACTCGGCGTAAGCACGCTCTCCCTCTTGGACCACCTTTATGGAAATTCCTACGGTCGACTGACTGCATGATGCCAGATTTTAGAGAGCCATACCGGGGGCGCGTGCCTCGAGCTCCGTCGTAAAGTTGAGCTTAGAGGTATACGAGTAAACACTCGCACGTAAAGAGACTCCAATTACGTTGTTAATTTTTCTTCCCGATTCGACCAATCAAATTGTCACAACGCGTCTCGAGGACCTGGGCGGCAATTTAAAATCTCTAATCGTCACAGCGTACGGGGTAACCTTGGCAGACTCTCTTCGCAATCTTCGCAACGGCGGTGTACACAGGACAATGAGGATTAACGACGCGCCACCCGGTCTGTCGGCATCCGGCGCTGATTTTCCGTGCACACAACCCTCTGCTCTAATCACAAGGGCCCGGTGTGCCCCCAATTATCTCGGCCGAGCGGCAACTGGCGAAATTTCGATGACATCGCGCGTTTACGCTGATGTATCGCAGGCGACTCTGCTTGGGAGCGTCTGCAACGCAGAGACCTCCGAGGGTGTACAGCATTATTTCAAGCTCCAATGGCTTAGACGGGAGATTGCGCAATTAGCGATGATCCATCATGCCCCGCACAAATTATTTCCGCCGTTTAAAATTGGGCCCATGAGGATTGAGACTCCGTCACCTTTTTGTCGTGCTTTTATCGCGTTTTCATTGGGCGTTCGCGAGCTCCTCAAATTTACACTTCCATCCGCGTTGATGCTTTTTTGAAAACGAAAAAAAAAAAAGAAAAAGGGACCCCCTCGACTTCCGTGGGGCGTACACAGTGCCAAGCGTTGGAAAGTAAATGACGTTACGAGCCGCGCACGAACATATTATACACAGCGACGGGGCCGTAAAGCGCGAGGTACTGGAATTAGGTAGGTGTATCTTCGTATTCCACGGCTCTTTGAGTCCTCTGTCCTCGGCATCTCTGGCGTTCTTAGCTCGCGGCTCGTAACTCATGGCTTATTAAAGGGAAGAAGAAGCAGGCGCTCGCGCTTTGACACCACACGCGGAAAGAGAGAGATGAAGCCGCGGCATCAAAGGCATTCCGGGACTTTTGCTTACCGATAAATCTTTCGCTGCGGCTACTCTGACGGGGGAGGGGGGAGGGTTCTCGGTGCAGGGAGGGTTGCTGGCTCGCGAAGCACCCCCCCGTCATCGGGGCTCTGGTGCTGTTGGCGAATCAACGCTGATCCATGAATACGATGGCCCCTACTAAAGAGGTGGCGCCGAGGTTGCACCGTATGTGTGCCAAGGATCCAGAATAGACTCGGTAAACGTGCTCGAATCGTATATTACGGGAGTCGACGATTGATACTTGGCAGAGAGATGCTGGCGTGGTGATGATGTATCGAGTTGAACCAGCTTCGGGACTTTCCATTTCAAAATTAAATGCATAGGAGGGTATTTCCTCTGTTGTAGGGAGTGATAGAAAATGAAGTGGTGCACGTGCCATTAATTAATTAAAAAGTCGTTGATCAAAGATGATTTTTGTGGTAACGTTTATTATACAAGCCAGTATGGATTTATGGAAAATTCAAACAAGTTTACAATAAGTACGACGGTAAGAGTATGCGTAGATTATACGGGACATATGTCGAGAGGTGTAAAGAGTGTACCTTGGCTTGGTAAAAACTAATTGAAAAGCTAATTAGAGCCAAGGTAGAAAGAGTGGGCACCTTAAGTTAGTTTTTCCTAAAAATATCTTTCTAGTATGGTTATCGTGGTTTTTTTCTAGTGTCGAGCGAGATCGTCAAGTAGCAGGTTTTAAGTGTCCAAAATATCGAAAAAATCCCTTTTCGTGGATTATTATTGCCACCTCTGAAATCCACGTGGAGTTCTACATGGAGTACTAGTTGCACGTGGACTTCAAAGACGAGGCTAATGTGGTAAAATCAAAAGTAACCCATGACCATTGAAATCTCGGTTTCTTTCTCGTTCACTCAAACGGAAGTACCGAATGCTCGAGCAAGAGACAAAGCGAATTCTGTATACCTAGAGCGACGTCGAGCAGAAGGCGCGAACGAGATAAAGAGTAATTAGAGGCCAGAACGTGGAAAGTGAAATACATTGTGCCCGTGGCAGGCTGGCGAAACAAAGACGGCACACACGGGCGTTTCAAACTCCACGAGTGACGTACCGTAGACAGAGAAGACTGTGTATGCTCGGTACAGAGACGCGCTTGCAAAACAAATTAGCAAAGTGAGAATGAAAAGAAGACGAAGAAGAAGGAGAAAAAGGTGAAAAAAAGGATTAGAGAGGACGGAAGTGCGGGTGGTATAAAACGTGATAAGTGGTTTTATGCAGTCCACCTGGTCCACGGAAAAGATTTGACAGGTGAAAACTACTCGATACCACATCAGATCTAGGATTTTCAACGAGTATCAATCATTGTTACATCTGAAAAAAAAGGTACCTTCGAGCCAGCCGCATCAACACTCCGCGTTTTCTCATCAACCGAACCTCATCCCTATACATAGTTCCAAAACGTTTGTACATACAGCGAAAGTAGGAAGCACCAGCGTGACCCACTCCCAAAGTCAAACAAGAGCCGGCACCAATCAATCGATTTTCCATAAAGCTGCGCTCCTCTCTTTCCCCGCGTATACCTGTACCAATAAGTCGACCCCGCAAACTCATGTCTCATCGTCCATCGAACAACTCGTCTTTTCCCCTTTGTGTGTCCCTCAACACTTCCTGCCGCGTCCCTTCCCGACGTCCATCTCTCCCTTACCTCGGCGGCTCATCGTTCCTCTCTCCTTGTCGCTCTTTGGCGAGTAATTCGCAAGATCTCCCCTCCCCTTGTATTCCACAGCGTGCAAAAGGAAGCCAACGCAATTAGCAATCGAAGTGGCTCTCTCCCGGGCGGCCCTCCCTGGAATAGAACACCAGTGCGGATAGGACGACTGCGAAGGTGGAGGAGTATAGAGGCTCCGTCTCATCTTTAATTCATGGGGCGAGCTTCCGCGAACGTATACACATGCACGAGAGTATACGCGAGAAGGGGCTTCTTCGATCGATAAATTATAATTTCATCGCGCGCGCGGCAGGCCTCTCTGCCGTGCTGCTGCTCGTCCGTCAACTGTATGGATGTATAGTGTATACCGCGGAGATTTGCTGCACTCGGAGCCACTGTTTTTTTTTTTTTTTTTTTTTTCCCACGAGTACGCATTATATCCTGATCTATGTGGTATACTAATGAAATATCCCTAATCGGTCAAAGTTGCTTTTTGTAACAGGGTGGCATCGACGTACACCAGGGAAATCAGACCTACATAGGATTCCTTAGAAGCAGCAAAAAATGCATTTTATACATCATTACATTTATGAGAAACTGATCCCATTCGTTTCCAATATTTCTTCCCCCCTTACTGCTGAATCATTACTCAAAATAGCTACGTATTTCCTTCCACGTGATACATTATACCCCTTTTCCATGAACAATATGTACTAATTAGCGCACGTGCGCGTGCCTTTTTGTTTCAGGTTGAATCAGGAGAGCTTTGGCGGCGCCTGGTGTCCAAGGCCGCAAATAAAGACGGATTCCAGCGAGTGGATTCAGATAGACTTGCACAAGGTGCACGTGATCACCGCCACTGGGATCCAGGGACGCTTTGGGAATGGCCAGGGCGCCGAGTATGCCGAGGCGTACTGGCTCGAGTACTGGCGACCCTCCCTCGGCAAGTGGGTGCGCTACAAGAATCCTGGGGGAGAAGAGGTAATTTTATTAAGAGTATCTGTTTTTTTTTTGTTTTTTTTTTTTTTCATACGAGTATTTACTCTTATTTTTGGTCAATGAGAAGGCTAATTGTTTAACGCCAAGTGGACTCTTTCCGATGAATTATCATTTGTTTTTTTTTTTTTTTTTTGGCATATTACTACAACAAGCCATTCGTATTCATAACAGCCTATTTCACACGGTGGGCTAAACATTAAAGTAATAACGAACAAAACGGTGCCCATAAAGAACCGTATGCTCCCTCACCCGAGCGTGCTATGATACACGCGAAATTTCACGCCGGCCCGGGCAGGAGAAAAGGGTCCTTCTTGCATGCCACCCTTCTTGGGTGTGTACCTCTTACACACAAAACAGCCATTCATCCTGAGTAAAAAAAAAAGAAATAATAAAGAAGAAGCTTCCCATGCGGTAATGGCGTGTGAGCTCGCGATAAAAAAATCATCCCCGCGAAAATGAACTCCGTGCCACTGTGTACACGTATTTTCCCTCCAGAAAAAAAAGATCCTGTAGCCACAGCGACGAGGAGAAAACCCCGGGTCTTTCAAGCGCGTCCGAGAGGGTGGAGGTATTTTTCGTCTCACCACCGCGCCAGAGTGAAATAAAGGAACATTTTCGGCCGGATGAAAAACGAGGGCGAGCCAAGAAGTGAATGGAGGATAGGGGTGGAGGGGAGGACTTTCAAGGCAAACAAATTTCCTTGAGAGCGGGTTCCCGGGCACGCTTTTAGGTCAATGACGTTTCCAAGTCAATATTTTGCAAAGACAGGACGGCTCCTCTCTCTCTCTCTCTCTCTCATGTATACATGTATAGAGCTTTTATTGTAATCGTTGTTCGATTCGAGAGCGTGTCCAAGCAAGCTTGGCAACCTCCAGACAATGCCTCTCTTTGCACGCGAGATGAGACTCTCGTGGGGTTGTTTTATTTTTAAACCTCCCCACTCGTCCCTGTAGGTTTCCTCCCTCTTTGGTTGTAATATTAACTAAACCCACGCGAATTGTAATAATCAAGGTACGAGGGTGCCTGGGCGTAAACTCTTCCTAGGGGGTGGGAAGGGCAAAAAGAAAAAAAAATAACCACACGTACGTACGTCATATGGAACGTAAGCACGTACATTTACGCACGGGGTACATTTGCGTCGGATCGATAAAATAAGGGAAGGTCGTCGCGTGCCAGCGGGTCAGATATCCCACCCCCTTTGCTTCCTCCCTCTCACCTACATCCGAGCCACCTGTCCGTGGACTATAGGCGAGGCCTCCCTGGCTGTAATTACTTTCGCCGTGGCTAGACTCCCCCCCCCCCCTTTTCTCCTCCTCCTCTTGCACTCTTTAAACCGAGCGAGCAGCAAATTTCGCGTATAAATTGAGGCACGAATTTAATTGTAACTTTGCGATTGTACAACGACAACGTCCCTGCAGTTAATGGATCCTCCTCTTATTTTATACTCTCTCTCTCTCTCTCTGCGTACGCGTCGCTCGTTTCCTCGGGAATTTAAGGGAAAATACGCTCCTCCTCCGCTTCTTCTTCTTCTGTTCGGGGTCGTGCGTACATGCGGGGAGATAAGTGGTCGGTCGGTTGGCTTAATCGCCAAGACATAGTTTCCGAGCCTCGGTAGCTATTACGCCGCGGCTCGGGGCCGTTCGTGATGGAGGGTACTTTGGGCTTAAAATTCACATATACCTATGCCGGGGAGGTGAAATGTTCGGGGAAATAAAGAAAACTTAGCAGCTGGAAATTCGAGTATTTATTGTTGTTTTTTTTTCTCCGTTCGACAACGAGGGAGGGCACCTCTTGAAATCACATAAATCGAAGGGAGGAGAGGTGGCGAGTGCCAAAAGTAGAGCTCGACATTAACGGCATTATCGTCGCGTAATCAAACAAAGGTAGAGTGCTTGTCCGGAGGTAGAGGCCAAGGGGTTAACGGAAACAAGAAAACCAAGGGAGAACGAGGAGGGAACAAAAAAAAAGAGAGGAACCAACGTTTACCGCTACTCCTTTATTTTGCCAACTTGGCCATTTGTACCGCAACCTGGATTTTATACGGCCAATTGAGCGTATTTACTGGACACTCGAGCAATTTTTTTGTTTCATTCGAACGAGAGTTGAACGATGATCGGATGAGGCAAGAGAAAAAGGGAAAACAACAATTAAAAAAAAAAAAAAAAAAACGAACTATGTAAGAACTTTGNCCATAAATTTAACAAACTTTCACTTTAAAATAAAAATTGTTCTGTTAATAGTATTCAGTAAATTATGTTCCAATTGAAAATCGGAACCTTAATATTTGGTTAATTTATTGTTAGTTTCTTTAAATAATATCCAACCTTGAACTTTTCCAAGCGTCCGTTAAATTCGATGTCTAGTTTACATGAATAGAGTTTCAAAAGATCGTAAACACTAATGACGTAATAGTATACGTAAATAAAATTATTTCTAAGGTAATGAAGTTTTTAATGTATATTGAATAGGTATATAGATAGCTGTAGGGTCAAAAAGAAAACTCAAGCGAAACTCTGGTTATCATATTGCCAAATATAATAAAGTATCAACAATAAATCGGTTCTTTGAATAATATAATAAATGTGTGTTACAGAAAAAAAAAAAAATACGAACGAAAATTTCGTATTCAAAGCTATGGCTGTGATCCTCTACTAATCAGTACGATTCGTATTGTATTCGACACTACGCGTATCTCATATAAAATTTAAAAAAAAAAAAAAAATACGAACTAGGATAATCCATTTTGCGAGGAAGAAAGGCATTCGTCACGAGCACACCTTTCCCTCCCGCTGGAAGGCTCCTCTTTTTTCTTCTTTGCTGTGCAAAAGGCGTTGGTCAGCCGCCACACCTACGACACAGCCTTGGCAGCTGGTAGCCGGCCGCGCGAGGAATTTGTCAACGCCTGGAAATGGACAAAAAAAAAGACCCAATGGATGCCCAGTCCTCCTCCTCTTCACCGTATGGTTTCGTTTCGCTTACCTTATGTATATGTATGCGGTAAATTTTCACGAGATAAGGCTCGGAAAAGAGAGGAACTATCGATGAGGAGAGCAGTGGGCGTGGAGTGTGTTATACAACATCGCAGCGCTCGTTAGTTCCTCGTCGATGGCTAATTGCGATACGACTATCTCTCTCTCTCTCTTTTTTTGCCTTCCGTACGGCCGGTGAATAGAGGAATCGACTCAGAGGGAATAATCGAAGATGAGACTCGGCTACTTTTGTCCACATATATATACGAGCGAGGTAAAAGGCTTTAATGGTTCGTAAGTCGCGGAGATAAATGGGGGGGCTTTACTTTGGATCGTGAATTTTTCCAACGAGCTATTGCTCTTTTTTGTCCTCTAAAAGCAAAGTCATGCGTGTCTACGGCAAAAAGCAGCGTACGGATTAATTTCCGAGTTTGATTAATATACATATCAGCGAGCGGGAGAGAAACGGTTCCCCGTTAAACGAAACGCGCGCAATCAATTGAACGTCGTTGGGGGGGGGGGGGGGAAAGTAGAGTCCCGCGTTTCAAAATCCAACGGCAGCCACGGTTAAATTGAATATTTGCATTTGCGTCCGGGCACAACTCGTTACATCGCCAACGAGGCTTTTATTGAATGTTATTCGTTGCACTCGACCGCGACGTCTATTTACATACAGATTGCGTTTTCTTACTGGTGCGCGCAGGTACGGCCAATGGCCACAGCGATATTTACAGCCTCGATTCGAAAGTTGGCTCTCTATGTTGCCTAACAATCATGATAATGCGGCTGAAAAAAGCGTGAAATAATAATAATAATAGAAAAAAGCGAGCGTTTATACGCGAAACTGTGGCATTACATTGGAAGGGGAGGGAGCGAATTTTCACGCCAATGTACGTCGCAGTCCCATAACTCACTACAAACGAATTACAATAGTAGCCATAAAGTATTATGTACATACGTGGGTGGTGTACGACGATTCTCTACGCCAGTGAGGTTTCATTTAATTGCGGATACGTTCAAAAAATGATGCTCCAAGTGCATAGCTGCACGCTCGCTTTTATTAATCTACAATATCTTGGAATCGTTTTTGCAATCAACATTTTGGAGTCCAATAAACGGGAGCCAAGACTGATCCCACTTTATTTTTTTTTCTCGAAATCAGAATATGAGAAAGTTTTCTGTTATAGACTTTGGTAATGACAATAAGGTAATGATTCGAGACAATGTATTTGACGTTGACGTTGGCAATATGTTTGAAAAACGTTGATTGGTTGCTTTGCAGAATCAGAAACTTTAACGAGTATGGGTAATCGCAATATAATCGCACCGGAGTCTTTTCTACTTTTATCGAGAAAAATGACACAAATAATGGATTATCAATACGATCGATCGATCAAGCAAAGTTCTGATGATAATCACCCACATAGTTTTTATTATGATCTCACGTGCTCTTTTACATCATCGAACAAAGCGCATACTGACTTCATTGTAATTACAACATCGGCACTCGAGCAATGACAGCGAAGTACGAGTCAGGGATCAAGTTAATGGAAGAAAGTGGTGTGGTGGGTCCCTCCTGTTCTCTGCACTCATTGCAGACACGTAGTTATTATCTCGACACGTACAGAGGCTCCACAGTGAGCCAAAAGCTCTTGACATTCAAGATGTTCAATTGGAAATAAATTTTCGTAATTGCTCGATAGAACTTGGAGGAAACGGGCAACACTCGATGTATTTCGACTTGGATGAGAAAAAAAAAAAAAAAAAATTTGTCGAACCAAAGGTGAGCGCTGAAATTTTTATGGAATATGATCGATTGGGCGCCTGACTCATATGAATATAACAGTAACAGTAATAATGTTCAGCGTATCAGCATTCATCGCGGCAAACCTGCGAGTCATAAAAATCGATGTTTAGACCGTTTCCAAACTTGTACGCTGGATATGTTTTTTTTGTTTTATGCCCACGTGACTGTGTATATATTTTTTTGGCAGCAGCAACTCGAACACAGGAGCTGTTATCAATAATTCATGTGCACCGTGCTCGGAGACAGATGTGTATTATACACGCGTAACACCCGAAATCACCCACACACAAACGTGCGCGCATTCGGTGACGGAATGTTAATGAGGCTCCGTAAATAACAGCGCCTCCAAAGATTCTCGTGTCCCGGTGAAGCTGCGCCTCGCTGGGCAATTTTTCACTTACGGAGGGCGAAACATAAGCGAGAGAGCGCCGATCGTACGCGTCGTTCCGGCTATACATGGCTTTTGTCCTACACTGCGGCGCATCATTATCGAGTTTTCTCGCTTTTCGAGGAGAATACTATTCCCTGGCGCTTCCTGACTGCCCTCAGTGAGCTCTTTCAATTTTTCATTACCTGCCAAGGCCAGGGCATCAATTGTACAAACTTTTTCGCCCATGATTTACTCTTGATTCTTGATTCATACCATATTAATACTACTGCATAAGGAAAAAAAAAAAAGGGTATAGGTACTATCTTCACCGTCGACGCGCTGCCCAACTTTCCAAGTGAACGACCTCGCGTGTACATCCTCCTGCTTTCCTCTTTTGCCAGCAACGCTCCATAATGGATAAAACACACAGCGTTTCCCGCGCGCACAGCTCGTCAGCCCATCGTCCCTCTCGTTGACTTCGACCCGGTGACCAAGTGCTATATGCTCAAGTCTTCATGATGATGCACCCCCCCCCCAGTATCTCCCTCTTGCGCACCTACATGCACCCACGCCCTTTACCTGCGTACTCCAGAGAGGAGCACCTACTCGTACCGCGCGCATAGCAAAGCGCAACGCCCTCGACCATACCGTATAATGTAGCCTCTTCCACCTGATGCTCAAACCCTCTGTCCATCCTATTATTGCAGCCCCTCTCTCTCTCTCTCTCTTTGCCTTCGAATTTAATGATAGAGGCAGGTATACACTACAAGTAGTTCCGCCAGTCGTACATTACTCGTAAGGACGGAAAATAGATAATAAAGTGGGTCCGCCGTCGTGCTCGTCTCCCGAGCCCATTCTTTTGCATATACGACGACGCGGAAGGAGCACTTTGCCTGATGACGGCGCATTTTTCTCGGCTCGCTAGCTTCCGCCTCTTCTTTCTCCCCCTACGCCGCGGGCTTTTTTCCCTCCTCTCTGCTTGTGCCGGCCACTTTTGCTCGAGCCTCTTCGACGGGAGTGGTTTCGCGAACACTGAGCGCCCGAGCCGTAGAGTTTTTCCTCTTTTGGTCCTGTTGCCGGGGGCTTTTTCGAAAATCCCCCGATAAGCGTGCCATTACAATCGCCGAGAGATCCTCGACTGTACCGGCGATGAGGATCCAAAGGGACCGTCGGGAGAAAGAAGCGGCCTCCTCGAATATCGTCGCGAGCACACAATGATCGAGAGCCAATGAAGCCACCGAAGGATATATATATACCCACGCGCGTGCATGATATAAGCTCACAAGAGGTGAGAGGAACACAAGAGGGTATAATCATGCGGAGCAAGAGTCGCGTGGGTATATGTCGAGCGGTGGCACCGACTCCCCCGTAGCTCTTGTTCTCGCCGTGTAACAACGACGAGCCTCTCTTTCTGTCGTCCTGGAACAAAGGCCCTTCTTATTTCCCACTTATGAGGCTCGGGAGTCTCTCGGTGCACCGTGTGCCACGCTCGTTCTCACATGCCGCGGTTGCATGTATATATAGTCGTGACCACGGGTAAAAGAGAGAGAGAGAGAGAGAGAGAGTGTATGTGTGTGCTACCTTTTCTTTGCTTACATTCTCTCGCGTGATCCTCGGGACAGGTGCAAACGCTGCCACGTTAAGTTCCACCGAGGATGTTTGAGCACGTAGTGGGGAGATGACCTTTTTTTTTTGCACTGCCAGTGGTGAGGTTACAGGAGTGTACGGAGATTACATAATGAAACATTGCGGTCGTTTCATATTTTTACCCAAAGTCTTAAGTCATTTGGTTCTGCAATAATGACTACTAATTTTGTTGTTGTTTTTTTTTTTTTTTTTTACACAGGAAAATAAAAGACAATGTAGGAATTTCATGTGAAAATGATCAAGAGTTACTTCCAAAACAACCCTTTTCTTTTCAATTCGATGTTTATGTCTAAAAACTCTGATTTTCCTTTTTTTTTTTTTTTTTTTTCAACTAGAGTCATGACACAATTTACGAGTCCAACTGAAACTATATAATCCCTCGTAGCGACATTTTAAAATCTCACGACGCCGATAATCGCTTGCTCGGCTTTCAAGATCCCGCGGTCTCGAGTGCCTCAAAACTCGTCAAGAGACCCAAATCCCCCCGTGCCCCCCTGGTTATACCCAGCACAACGCTTTTCTTTATGTACTCATGCGTCGACGTGAAAATACTCCCCCTCACTCCCACGACCCAACGCCCCGCTCGACTCTCATTTACATCGGTTCAAGGACCGCCCGTAGAAAAAAAAAAAAAAAAAAAAAAAAAAATCCAAACAACCACTGCCAAGACAATTTCTCAATTGACAATTCGTCTCTATGAAGCAGCTCTCGCTCGTAATCCAATTTAAAGCACTTTAAATCCTACGCGTCAAATAAAACCTCCGAAGCCCCGTGCACGTATACTCAATAACGAGTGCGCGACGGATCGTATACGATCGGCAGTTCTTTTTGGAAAAATGGCTCAATTGACACCTGCCTGAGCCGGTCGAGTTCTCTCCTTCCCGGCGGATACGTATACATACGTTCAAATATATACCAAACAGCGCACGCCAATCATTGCCCCGCGAATATTTATGATACCCGCACGAAAAGCACGACACACGCGTCGGGGAACAAAAATGTGGCTTTGAAATCCATGTAACCACCAGCTCGCATGTATACATCACATACATCCTCTCTATAAATCATCGAACAATAACAGCAACACCAAGTACATTACAGGCTATACACATACAGGCATGTGTGCTATAATCATCAGGCCGCGTGTATATATGGTGGGGCAGAGGGAGCATTGTCGTAGCTCAATACTAAGCAGGCCAGTGAGTACCGGTTTTTTTTTTTGTTTTTTTTTTCTTCACCGGCGACTCGCTGGCGACAGCTTATAAGGTACACCTGCCTTGATATTACGTATAGTCACGGTTATGTCTCGTTGAAGTATATTTATTTATCGATTTATCAGCGTGTGTACGAACAAGCAGGACGGATTATTCAGCAGGGTCGTCCCCAAAAAGATAATTTTTCAGTGCATGAATTATATTTCATTACGATCGAAGATAAGGAATATTATATAGATGGACGTGCACGATAGTTATGGATATCCCTTAGAAATTCGGTTACTTACTCGGCAACAAGTGAAAATCCCCTCGTTATTCACGTACCCCTGAAAGCCGTACAATAATACGAACAAGTGGAAGGCGAATCGTACAAGTATACACCAGTGCGCCACACCGTCGGATGATAACTCTGTTCCTCGGTCTAATTAATAATAAACCACTCGGGGTGAGATCGCGCACAAAAAACCGATTTTTTTTCGATCGGCGTAGGAGAAAGAGTCCACTGGCCCTGGATTGCGCGTAAAATGTACCGATGTATGTATAAAAGATAGAGGCAATGAGTCACAAATGTATATCCCAAGGGGGCAATAATGAGCCATACGATTTCTTTTGCAGCTGATAACCGGCAACACAAACACCTACCTGGAGTCGAAGCACACGCTCGAGCCGGCGATCTGGGCGAGCCGGGTGCGCTTCCTGCCGTACAGCTACCACACGCGTACGGTGTGCATGCGGGTCGAGTTGTACGGGTGTCCGTGGAACGACGGCATAGTGTCGTACTCGATGCCCCAGGGGGAGAAGCGCGGAGGCTCGGATTTCTTCGACGCCGCGTACGACGGTTACTGGAGCGACGGGCTCAGGCGGGGACTCGGCCAATTGACCGACGGAGTCACCGGTCCGGATAACATCAAGAAGAACTGGGTGGGCTGGAGGAACGACACGAGGCACGGACAGCCGCTCGAGATAACCTTCGAGTTCGATCACGTGCGCGAGTTCTCGGCCGTCAACATTTACTGCGCCAATCAGTTCACCAATCATGTCCAGGTGAGTACTCATACAGTCCAGCTCTTTTCTCCTTGCTCTCGATTTCAAGTACAACATGTACTTTGTTGTATTGACATCGGCTTCTTTTTGCCCCACTTGTACACACCTATACGTACGATATAGGTACACTCGTACAATCAAACAGACAATGGGGTTTGATCGGTGAATCGTGCAAAAGGCTACGCCCCCGTCAGATATGCATTCAATTAACCAATGCATTTCATGCTTTTTGCAGCTTACGGTTCAATTAAACATTATCAAGTACACATTGAACATCAAAGCTCTACATTGTAATATATTAAGCCTTTTTAATTAGTTACTGCCCAAAAAATCTTTTAATACGAATCTTTTCGTACAAAACGTGTAAATTGAACATTGATGTGTTGTTTGTAGTAAAAAAAAAAAAAAAAAGCATCACAGTTTAAGGGAGAATTTCTAAGGGGTGTAAATTATCACGATAAACCCCTTTATGTAAAAAAGTTCAACAGTTATATCCATACTTTTGACGAGTATTGCACTCCACCATCGTTCCGGTAACAAGTACGATACACTCGAATTCTTTAGATTAACAGTATTCGAAATAGCTATAGCTAGTGATGTATGGCTCCAACTCAACAATGCGATAGAGGACGTAATTAAGTGCCCTCGTAATCACGCGCAGTTCCTACATGTTTCGTCGTCGAGTAAGATAATAACTGTACTCTAGAGCGAATACCTAGCGAGTATAATTAACGACAGTCGCAGTAATGCTCGGCCGCTCGAGAGACATAGAATCCACCTACATTTGCGTTGTACATATTGTATAGCCGATAATCTGTTACAACCAGCATATTATGTCTCGCAATATTACCTATTTCCATAAACGAGAAAATCTGGTGCTCGAAGAGGGATATTATTCAATTTTGCTGTTTTTTATTGAGTAGGGGCCGCTTTGATACGCGTATAGATCTTGTGAAATACCATTTGTTGTTGTAAGGAAAAGATATGCAAGCTCTTTAGGCTCGAGTTAATCAACATTCGCGACCATCAGACACCCCGAGAAATCGGAAAATCCGAAAAGCTGGGGCTTTTCCCGTCAGCGAAAGCAACGCGAAACGAGCGCGAGGCAAAGTTCCTTACCCCCCCCCCTAAGGATGTGTCCGGACCCAACCGTATATACCACGGTCCTTTAATCCGTACCCTCGAGGCGCGCCCCGGTAGCGCGTGTACATTATGCATGGAAATTCAAGGCCGTGCGGTTCGTTTTCAAATATACCCACCGAAGGAAGGAAAATTGCCCGGGAGGAAGATACATCGGAGCAAAGGGGGGGGGGGAGAGGGAAAAACGCGAAAATTCCTCCGAGACGGGGTAACAGCGTTATTTCTGGCTCTCGAGTTTTGCGATGCCTAGGAAAACACTCGACACGAAGAAACAAGAACCATAAGGTAGGAGAGGCACCGGGTGTTTGCCCTCACCTCCAGGTATCAAGATTTATTTGAATGGAGCGCCTCATTACCCGGCTCGACAATTGTACAGCGTCGCGAGCGCGCAGGTATACACACACAACGGAGGAGCAGCGAGGAGGAAAAAGAGACGGATGGAACGGGATAAATAGAGGTAGGCTCGCAAATGATGGAGGAGCGGGAGCCAAGCGACATGGCTGGGGTGTATATGTATGCATAACCATCTCGTGAGCTGGCGCCTGAAAAATTCAGCGAGGAATTACCCAGTGTACTTGTCGATGTACCTATATACACTGCTGGAACGAGGAGTATTCGTGCCGTCTGTTTTTACGACAAATGAAAGAATCTCCTGGAATGGTATATTTTGAATGTCCTATCTTTTTTTTCACGCCTACAGATCTCCCTTTTTCCAGACTTTTGGAACCGATGGTTAAAAACACTCCAGTCCATTCGCTATTGCAAAAAAAGCAACAATAAGTGTCCACATGGAAAATGAGCAGAAACATGGACAAACGGCCCCGAGAGCAGAAGAGGAAGAAGAAGAAGGCTTATTGTTGTATGTCTCCTTTCCGAAGCCCTTGTCCCCCCAACAGGGGTAAATGCTCAGGTCATCCAGCATAGACATCAACGTCTTGGCTGAAGGAGCGCCGAAACAGATAGGCGCCATATACACACAGCTCGCGCCAACTCCTCCCAAAATATGCCACACGAAAATCCATACGTGCATTGCGCCGCAGAAGCTGCACTCGTGTTTTATATTGCACGTGTACGAGACGTAGCGGGGTCGGGTAATCTCGGCTCTGTAATCTCCCTCTCTTGTGTTGCACATGCAGCTTCTTTCTCATTGAGCTACCGCTGCAACAAATGTGCAGAGCTCTTGACGCCCCATATGTACGAGGGGCATGCATGAATAGAAAAAGCGCTTTCTATTCGACTATTGCCGTATACAAGTGCTCGGTGAACGTATACTTGTAAGTTTCTTGGAAAAGTTGCTCGAGGTGTAGAAAATAGGTGGGTTAGTATGAGCATTTCTTTTTTTTTACCACAGCACTTTTTCAGATAGATCGGACTTTTGCCTTTATTTTCACCTCGATTCTCCAGGCAAAGCATACATTGTACTTTTGTCGAGAAGCTCACATTGATGATTGATTCCAATAGTTATGCAATAATCTCTATTACATTAGGATATTCTACGAGAAATGGAATTACAGTGGAATCAATGAAAATGTTCTAGGCTCGGTAAAATATTTTTCCGTACCTTGTTTTACCAGAATTGTGCAGACTGCACTGAAATCCTGCCAAACAAATTGAAACTTTCCGTTCCTTTGAAACGTTTGGTCCAATCTCGCCTAGTCCAGGGTTTGGATTACAAGTTTTTATCATTTTTATTGTTAATCCTTGCTTAGGATAAGCAAGTATCGTTAGCTCACAGATGACCAAACGGTTGATGACACTCGAATTTCATTATACTTATTTATACCTCCTAAATTTTGTTTTATGGCTCAAGTCCCACAAAATGTCACTATAAAATGTCCATATAAGAAAAAAAAAAAAAAAAAAGGTCAGGTGGCGTGTAAATACAAATAGGCATTTCACATATTCATACGTCGCATCATCCATCTTTATCAGCGACGGTTACACTGCAACAGTCGCGAATAGAAGTAGCCGGAGGAGGATGAGAGGTCGTCGACGCGAAGCCATACCCTATGCGCGTACGTGACAATGACGATTCGCCTAGGCGCGATTTAGCATTCCATTACTATCGCGCTACGTTTCCTTTCCTCCTCCGCACACACCCGCGCGCATATTACACGCCAGCATGTGTGTGGTTACCAGTACACCTCGCATAGGTACATATCTACCTGCGAGTCCTACTGCAGCACGCCTCCAACCAAAGAGAGACGAGAGAGAGAGAGAGAGAGAGAGAGAACACGTCGTGAGCCGGGAGACGAGAATGTCGAGAGATGTAGCGCTCTATCTTCGTGTCTGTCTGTGTAGCATTATCGGCAAGGAGGCAGGGGTGTATATGGGCACAGCCTGTTCTGTTGCTGTCAGTGCCATTGTGTAGTCGTCCGCTAATCAGCAGCTCGAAATCGCCTCTCCTCGCTCCCCTCCCCCTTCCTTTTATAGGTACCGAAACGACGAGAGTACTTACCTCACTTAACCTACCTGCCTCTCTTGGAGGAATTGGCACTCGAGTGCTCGTCTCCGCATGCACTGTGAATGGAAAGCTAAGCCCCACACAGTCTGCTGTTTCGTCTGATGAAGCGTTTCCTCCTCTCCCGTGCCATGGCACCATTCTCTCTCCTCCTGGATGCTAAGATGCTCCGCTTCCTTTGCTCGTCGTTTATATAGGAAATCCCACAGAGATTGCTCTTTATTCGCTTCTATTGTTTATTTACTGCAATGTAATGTTTAACGCGTCTTATAATTTAAATAGTGGTGGTTTTAGAGGATTCCCTGGGAAGTACTGTGCGTGCGGAGGGTGTGTACTTCAATAGAGACTTTGAGGCCTTACAGGTAACTAATTGCGACCCGTTGCAGCTCGTGATTTGGGGATGATTTGGTGTCGCCTACATGCACCCTTCGCGACTCAAACCCCGTGTCTGTCGACGAAACAATGGATTGACCAAACACGCAAAACTAAGTCCAATAGATCGAGCAAAAGCGTGTGTTTATCTGATTTGCAGGTTTTCTCGGAGGTGAACATACTTTTCAGCATCGGTGGGAAGTACTACACTGGGGATCCTATAGTGTACGAGACGCCCGAGGACAAGATATTCGAGTACTCGCGCGCCATATCGATAAACCTGCACCACCGCATCGGCAAGTTCGTGAAGCTGCGCTTCAGCTTCGCTGCTCGTTGGCTCATGATCAGCGAGATCGTCTTCGACTCGGGTGAGTGCTTCTCCGTTTGTTTTTACGTAACTCTGCGTACCCACTTGGCTGCGCCTCTACATAAATATACATTGCATGTGGCATCATCTCGACAGTAAAAGTTAAACTTGGATGGCTCTGTTGCCATAGCGTGGGGACTACTAGTCGGGCAGCCAAGAAAATGTATTTCCGTTGCTTATTTTCCAACTGACAAGTCCAATTATCTGATGGAAAAACGTCCGAAATCTGTATTTCAGACGTGGCCCACGGCAACTTCTCCCTCGAGTCCGCACCGTCTACCGAGGCGCCGCTGTCCCGCGAGCGTGGCTCCCCGCGCGAGATCCACCACCAGATCCCGGTGTCCACGGCGAAGCAGGACGACGCGACGTACATGGCCGTGATAATCGGGGTCCTCACGGCGGTGATCCTCCTGCTGGCGGTGGCCATGTTCCTGATAGTCTCGCACCACCGGCAGCGCAAGAACTTTGCGAGCTCGCTCGGGGCCAAGTCGGCCATACCGGCCGGGGCACACCAACACCTGGCGAACGAGTCGGCCTACGGCACGTCCGAGAAGGACCCGTCCCTCATGACGTACAGGGTCGAGGATCTGGACGACAGGTACGCAGCCGGTAAACTGACGACCCTGCCGCGCGAGCTCAACGACAGGCTGCTCGGGGACGTGCGACTCGACGATTACCAGGAGCCCTTCCACGAGCACGCCCCGAGCAACAATTACAGGGAACCAGTGCACGCTCCCTACTACGGCTACAGCACCGTCGTCATCGACAACAAGGACCTTCACGACAGCGTCAACCAGTCGGGTTGGTATTTTGCGATTGTGAACCTTTATTCTCTTCTCGTGGCTCGCACGTGAGCGATGGGGGTAGTCTTGAGCTTTTGTTTGAAAATTCGGGCAGTACGGAATATTTTTCGGGAATGCACCGAGGGAAGAAAATTACAAAAATTACTGTTCTAGAATATGCATGGCCATCTGGTACTGTTGGGTCGTAAATAAATTATTTATTGTTTGAACAATCATTTTTATAGCTTATAACGGTCATTTTTGTTGCAAGTACAGTTGTTTTTACTTTCTTGTATAATATAAATTTCCGTCCACGAGGATAAAAATTAGGTTGCCAAAAGTAAAAAGTCTCTAGGCACCAAATTACCATATTTTAGAACGTTACGTGAAATGTTCGTTTCCGAAGAGGCCATGTAGTATTTATCGTTTTTTTCAAAGAAATCTGCGGGGAGCTTTTTTTATTGCAAGTTTTTAAATTTTTTATTTCTCACATAATTTAAAGTAAAATAGTGTTGGTTTTGTGTTTCATGGTAAAAAATTTGTTTTGTACTTACATAGTATTGAAAGAATGAATAATTACTTTGTAAAAGGTTTAAGTAGAATGAGAGTGTGACATTATGGTTGGTAGTTGTTTTTTGTAAAATCCACAAGTGAGAAATCATCAATTTATCCTTTCTTTTTTTTTTATGTTTTGAAATGTTTAGATGCAACTTACGATTACGCAGTACCAATGCCAGTGCCTAGTGCGAGCAGTGACCAAGACAGCATATTCTCAAAGTCGTCGAGAGGCAGCGCCAAGGTAAGCTTACGATTTAAATGAATCGATGATTTTCAGTAAATGGATAAATCTTGATTGACATTCATCTTTTTCAACCTTTTTATTCTCACCGATGCTTGATCCCTGTTTTTCTTGTATTGTTTGCTTCTTTATATACATATACTTACTGTTTACGATTACTCTTAACTTACTCGAACCCCATAACACTATTTCTGTTGATAACAATCACCTATTTTGTAGCATCTAACATGTCCTGCCTTCAAACCCTTGCCACTGTACCGCCTCCCTTGGCCAAAGTTTGCTACTTACAAGTTATTATTCTTTTATTGTTCGTCTTCCACTTGTCAAACCGTTGCTTTACTCATTTAATTTGTCAATAAAAAAAGAAAAAAGAACTAAGCCGTGTCTCTTCTGGCCATGAACAGGCCTGCTTGCAGAGCTTCTTCCCGCCACCCCCACCACCGATGAGCGCACCCCCATCGCGACTCGGTGCCAACAATCTGACGTACTCGAGCCCACCGAGTCCAGATCTGATGTGCGAGCGGGGCAGACAGGGCAACAAACGCCCGCGCGACCACTCGTTACACCGGTACGCATGAGACCAGCAGCAGCAGCAGCAGCAGCAGCAACAGCGACGGTACAATCGATGGCCCAGGAGGACGACCACTCCCTCCTCGGCCTCCACCCTACTCTACACGCGCGCTTACGTGAGTAGCACCTACGGCGACATGCTGTAAAGTGCCCATATATATACATATTGTCATGTGTGCACGAATGACCGAGCGAGCTTGTTACACGCGTAAGAGTGTCTCGTGTACACGAGGACGCTCTTGCTCTTGCGAGGTGGATGCATCATTTTTATACTACTGCCTTCAATGAGGAATGAACAAAAAAATATACCAATGATGTGTGGACACCCGGCACTTTTGCATCGATTACAACGAATACCCTTAGACGATTCACGATCGGGAATGTCCTTCCAGTATTTCTTTTTTTTATCCTCGGGCCCAAGGACTCATTCGATACGATCGCGATGGTGATACACGCTACTCGAAACGATAAGCATATCAGTCATGATACGTGCATCTTTTTTTTTTTTATTCCCAACACGCTTGCAACTTACCACTAGCGCTCATACATGACGTGTATCTTTGCGCTGTTCTCCTTGCGATCGGATGAACCGAGGATGGTCATATTTTCGCTTCTAATCATGTGCTCGTGGGAATTGATAGAAGAGCGTATATAAAGGGGTAGCGCGTAAGCATAGGATACCCATTGAGAGAGTTTGTCGAGGGACAGGCAATCATTGACAATTCGGATCGTTGTTTTGCCAAGCAATAACGATTTTGTTTTGTTTGTTTTTCCTTCGTGAGGGAAACTTACTATTATCCTGCTTGTTGCGACAATGTAGAAGCATAAAAGGAGAGGAGGGAAAAATGTTTTTGTACATATAGTGTGAACGAGTGAGTGATAACGAGGGAGAGACGCAAAGTTTTCTAAGTCACGATTGTATAAGAGGGGGGAGCCGATGTGATCGCTTGCGGAACAAAAGCTCGTGTGAGAAATTTCGCGTTTGCGCGAAGCGTATCTCGATTTCACTGCCAATTAACAAAGGAAAAAAAAAAATTAACTACGACTGTTACAATGGTTGTTGATACGGACAACCGTCACCTGGGATACGCTTGGCTGCTTTTTTTTTGTTCGCGAAGTATATTAAAAAATATTAATTAAACACACACATTTATACAAGACTGATTCTTCGAGCAAAGGAAAATATGAGAAAAGGAGGAAAAAAAAACAAAAAAAAAAATACCTTCAGTTCCGTACGCAATGTTTGTACTTTTATTTATTGCCCTTGGCGTTGATGTGACGTACACCTAGTATTTTCTATTTTTTCTTTCTCATTTCCGTGTAAGCTGTACAAATTACTTATAGGATAAGAAATTAGAAAGGTATAGTGGACATGTGTAAAAAGTGAACATATTGATTTTTTAAAAATACTTTTTCTTCCCTTTGCATTGATTATTTTTAATTTTACGACTGTATAGTCAAACTATTAGTCTTTAACAATGTGTTTTCGAAATAATTTGGTGATGTTAGCTGATATAAACTTTCGACGCATGTCAATAATATGGATATTATGTACAGCACCGGGAGGAACGAAATCGTCGTTCGAAATAAATATTTCGATTACGTGCATTTGATACCTTTGCTAAACAGTATTTTTTGAATTTCGCGAGCACCTGTACATACCCCGTTTGACGAATAAAGTATACGTATTTTAGAGATGAAAAAAGACGATTTTCTTCCTCCTAACGAGGTATATGTATAAGTACACAGTTCTATTTCTCTAAAAATTGTAAAAGAAACTCTACCGCCGTCGCCTTTACGTATGTATCAATATGAGGAAAAAAATAAATAAAAAATTAGAAGAACTTCTTACAGAGATGGAGAAAATTGTTTATTCGTAACAAGAGAGGGGAACAAGACATTTAATGTGCATAACGGGAAAAGATATTAATTGATAATTTGAGGACAAAAATCGACAATACAGGGATGAGGCAACAATAAAAGCGGAGCGTATAGGATAACCCTAACACACACATTGTGATATATATTAACGACGAAAAACAAACAGCATAGAAATTGCGAGGTGATGAAACACTTTTCTGCTTGGGGATCGTTGCGCGGATTTCTGTTCACGAGGCTCTCCTACGCGAGTCGAAACTGTTCGTCACGTTAGATAAATATTATACATATATAGCTAAGCAAGTTATTAGGGTAAGCGTCATTGATTATGTTGAAAATTTAATTAAAACCTTTTTTCTACGACCGATAGAAAAAAGTGAATAATAATCACAGTAATACTCGACGACGTAGTAACAATCATTATGTAAGAGCACTATTATACTCGGCTGCACATGCAGATGATTACCAGTGAATTATAGTAAATATTAAGGGTGTTATTTTTGATTCGCTCGCAATATATAAATTATCAATCTTCTACAACGACTGGATACATATAAATTGTACTATTGAACAAAAAAACAAAGTATATAATTATATATTAGACACTATTGACTAGATTTTTAACGATTCTCAATCAATATTGCGTATGTATGAAACGAAACATGTACACAATATGGTAAATATAATAATCAACGTGAAACGCCATGCTTTAGTACCGCTACGGCGAACTTTTCGGTAACCTGCAGCATCAATTATCATTCCGTGTCACAAGTATCATCCCCAATTACATTTCACAAGCCTTTTTCCCCCGTAATTAATGCGATGAAAAAAAAAGCACAAGCAAGAAAAATCGACTAACTTTTCATTGAAACTCTGGATAAAAGTTTCCGAAGCGGCTGATAGAAAAAGCCTTTGAACTTGAACAAAGTACACCAATGGGAACAAAAAGAGAGAAAGCGTCGACGCGCGAGTTGAAAGAGTTCGCCGAGGCCACTGTAAATAAGACACCGATGCTATCTGCCAGTGTCGAGTTTAATCTCAATAATTCCGCAATAAGCCGGGGGTCGACGAGAAGGCAAAGACCTTTCCTCTTATCTGACACCTCCGCTTTTATCCTTTCACCAACTCTTCTTTCGCAACAAAAAAAAAATAAAAAAAATAAAAATTGCAATGGGTCACTTGCCGATCAAAGACTACGTATTTTCAATCTGCTACAATTAAAAATTGGCAAATAGCCTCACTATGCGCGGGTATGGCAGCTCGACAATACTTTATCACCCATAATCCAGGTATCCGCTAAAGTATTCTTTTATCGCTTCATTTATTGATTGTGTGTCTCTCTTTGTTCCGAGCGTTTCAAAAAATCGATTCATCGTAAGTGCTACAATAAAGTACACCAATTTTGTTGCAAATTGAAGCATCATTTTAAAGAGGCACTAAATATTTTTTAATGAAAGCATCAATCATTCGGACGCTCGTCGCGATAAAAACCAGCGTCGCGCCCGACAAGCCTTATTCATTCAAAACTACGGGCAAGCTCCCGTGACAAAACGATTTAAACTCACGTGTATTCAAAGCTCATCGCGTTTAACTCTTTCCCCTTCGTTTTCTATAAATAGCAGCCCAAACAATCGGCCGTACGACATTTTCCCTTTCTCTATCTCTGCGTATGTATTCATCTTCATTAAAAGTCTTGTCATGCTTTCAGCGCGCTCGCGCGACTACAAAGAGAAGCACCAGACGGGGAAACTCGTATACCTCGAAAAATCGCACGTGTATACCATTGGCGCGCGCTTCGCCCGAGATAATAGCCGGTTTCCCGCTCATCCACCCCTTCCCTTATGCACTTTCTTGCTCGTGCTTGATTCAGAAAAAAAAGAGGTAACACGCCTCGCTTGGGCGGACTGGCCGATAAGATTGCCGGTGAGCTTTTCTCCTGTTTTGTTTCCTTCTCGTGCCGATTTGTCTTTCACGGCAGTGCTTTAATTTCACAAACTCTGCGTACTTTATCACTTGAATGAAATTCTTTTTTTTTTTTTACGACATGACGGATCTTTTATTCGAGAAAAATCCATTTTTCACGTAATGAACTAAAATCAAGCATATTCTACGTATGTCTACCTAAAACGTGCGTGCGTGACTCGCATTTACTAAATATACTTGTTCATTACCATAGCCACATTTATTAGCACACGACATAAAACTCATACTTACAAATTTATGACTGTTTCCCAGCAAACATGAACACTTTGAAATAAATATGTATATAACTGTACGCTTTTCATCTGGTTTGCCTGGGGGTAGTGCAAGTACTTGGTCGCAAGATAAAAATTCAAACTTTTTTCATACAGTCCCGTTTACATTTTTAGCAATAATAACGGCTTACACCTCGAAGCAATTCGGCAACTAATCTTCCAACAACGCAGTGGTATACCACTTTTACTCGGCCGATCGCGAAAATTGCGCGAAAACACCCTTCGAGACGCTACAGCTTTCTCACGCACGTTAGGGTATAAGGGCAGGAAAGCGAGGAAAGGGAGGGGCGTGTTATATCTTTCTCCGGATTATCGCCGTCGCGCGAGCTTTAAAGCACACGCGACGTATTCAATGTGCGAGAGCTTGCACATTAATTCTCCTCGACGCACGTGTACATATTATACATGCGACACTTGTAATTTATAAATAGCGCGTCTGAGCGTGTGTGTGTGAAAACTGTACGTACCAACGTGTGTATGAAATTGTGTTTGCTAGAGAGAGAGAGAGAGAGAGAGAGAGCGATTACGTAAATACATATATACATGCGCGGTAAAAAAAAAGAGACGAGGAGGTGGAGGAGAATAAAGAGAAAAAAAAGAGCTTGAGCTTTTCCTTTTTTCTGGTGTACATAGCTGTATCATAACTTCTACACGAGCGCTACATTTACGAATAATATATCCTGTCCTGCTCTAAACACGCGCGTACGCGCGCACCTGTATAATGTGAAATTCGCGTGGAGTTTTTGTACGAAAAAGCTCGTATTATATGCGGTGTATCAGGAAATAGGGGCGCATGTGTGTAAATACTTATTATATACATATGCGTGTGTGTTGTTACGTGTACATATTTATTATCATGCACATTATTATACGCGCGCGCTGAGGAACAAAAAAAAAAAAAAAAAAAAAAGAAAAAGGATCTTGTGTGTTATTACCTAGAGTCGTAAAATAGTCGACGAGGTTCTCATCGGTGCGTTGCTAAGTGAGTCGATGGCGTGCGTATTTGATATTTGTGTGCCTGTATCCGTTTTGTATATGCTATATAATTATATGTAATGCGAACCTGTAAAACACGCAACTTGTAACAGCGAGACCCATGGAAATTGCTTGGCTCCTGTTGATCCATGGACGAAGGAGCCCAGAGATTTCTAAGGGAAAAGAAAGAAAAAAAAACAACAACAAAACCTATAAATATAGCGAAGAAAATCGCGAGTGAGATATAAATATATATAAAGAATTATATAAGTGATTATAGATTTAAAATATAAAAATAAACACGAGTACCGAAACTGTATACACACATACACAATAATACACGAATACACGCTCACGCTCATCGCCACATTCACTGTCCCTGTGGACGAAATAAACTTTTAGTGAAATCC